AGAATCTAGAAACTGAACCACTCTGAACCTCAGTTTTCCCGTCTGTAAAATGTGGATAGAGTAATTCCCGCCTCATGGAATGGTGGAGAATTAAATGTTATAATATATGCAATGAGATAATCAGCAAAATGCCAGGCATTTACTCAGTAATTTTTTGTTGTAATTGCATGGCTAAATGGCATATTTATTTACAGATTTCAGTCATTTAAAACAGAAGTGTTAATATCAAATAGGTAAATGCAAAATGTCTCAACAGTTATAAAAGAGAACCATGGCTGCAGTATCTTCCTATGTTGACAGATAGTAACTGCACACTAGTGGGGATGAGGATTTAATAATATGGGTAACTGTTGAACCATTGTGTTGCACATTTGAAAACAATGTAAGACTGTGTATCAAAGACATTTCAATTAAAAAAAAGAGAGAACCATGGTTTGATTTAAGCCTTTAAGAATGTTTTACTTACCCATAAATACAAGAGATATCAATAACCACATCGATCATATCACAGCAGAGCTCGTAGGTTTGCATATCCACTGGAGTACTATCAGTTGCAATATAAATTTTACTGACCACGTCAAATAGAAAAGCCTTTTCAATTCCAGAATTCTAAAACAAAAAGAAGATGCTGCCTTAAAGTGACAGCTGATTCCAGACCTTTTCATGGTTGCATAAAATTATATGCCATCCTCAGTGTAAAAATAAAAACTAAGTCACTAAGAATTTGGGCTCTTCCATTTTTATTGTAACTTAAAGCTCATATAACCTTCTTTATAAGGGGCTTGCCTAAGAAATGAAAAGTAGAACTAGTTATCACAAATTATTTACTTTAAACAAAATGAGCAGTTTCCTGACTCAGAGATACACCTGCAGTTAGGAAAAAGGAAAGTAAAAACACTAATCTTACTGACTGTAAGTTAAGAAATAAATTTAAAAAATCTAAAGAGACTCAAAATATTGCAGTGACAGAGTAAATATGAGTGCAACCAACAGTTTTGCCTCAATTCTGTGCAGCCTGTGTAGAGCTGACAGCTCACAGGACTCATTCAGCTAGCATATCATTCAGTGTTAAACACAGGTAAAAAATCTCAATATCTTATTGCCAAAAGCAGCTTTTATCTTCCCTACCTCTAGTAGGGCTCTATGAACACTGAATGATTGCCTGCAACTAGAGTAACCACTCCAACTATACCTGTGAAGTACAGGAATCTGTTCTGGGAGTTAAAATTTAAAGGCCCCAAAACAGTATGTAGGAGCAGTTTCAAAAGTATATTTCAGTGACCTTGAACAGCTATAAAAGCAAGCAGAAGTAAGATTGTTTTCACTTTTGCAAAGTTATTCTTGAATTGTGCAAATGACTGTAATAGGATGTATTTATTTACTTACTGAGATAAAGATGTTTAGCAAATTCTCCAGGGTGGGGAGTTGTGGAATCAGTTTCTGAACCACTTTGCTAAAAGCTTCAAATATTGAATGATCATATATGCTTGTCAGATAAAAGCTGAAAGAGGAAACAATATCTCATCATGTTTTCCTTTTGGCTAAGGAATAATTACGTAGGCTATGCCATACCACCAGCACCCTGCCTTCTCTATATGCAGTTCTTACACACACATTCTAGTCCCCTCCAGATTTCAAAATGACCTTGATAAAAAATGAACATGTCTTAACAAGCTACTTCTCCCTAATTCCCAAAAAGCAAGAACTGTGTCCATTCTCATCTGCTGACTGGCTGGATTGGGAAGCCTTAAAATGCAGTGGCATGGGACTATACTAGCTTCCTAACATTCCGAAAGAGAATCCACACCAGATAATCTTCACACACACCTCTTAGGTTAGTTACTGGTTGTTACTGACACTAAAGCATTTAATTTTTTCATTTGCCAACTGGTAAACTGAGTGATGATACTACACACACACACAAAAAAAATGATTGGGAAGTGGTTTTCCTCGGAGAGTATTCCTACTCGAATAATCTTCAGAGAGTACTCCTTTATACTTAGGACTACAAATATTATCATTTTTATCAGGAATGGCACATTTCAGCATTGCTAACTTCCTGGATTATATTCCTGGGTTTTATGTTATGTCTTTTTATATGGAGACCTTGACTCTGATCATTTGTTTAAAAAATTTTACAAAATTAAAATTAGCACATGCAAAGCTTGATTTCCCCAAATACCCTCCCAATGCCTACAGCACAAAATAGGGTAAACAGGTAAATTACTGTCCATGTCAAACCACTGGTAGTGACTTTGCACCCCAAACCTGTTTTCTTCTGTCAGAAACCCTGTGATCCCTGAGGGGTTTCTGTTCTCACCTGAGGTGAATTTTTTCTAATCCAGCATCAGCAAGGTCATCGTTTGCCCTCTGATGAATATCTCTTTGGGTCTCGATTTTGTGGTCATCTGACAGACCGTCCACCTTATGAATAAACACCTCGAAGTTGATGTCAGTGTTCACTTTGTAGGCCCTGGTCACGGTGAGGTGGAGCCTGGCCAGGGCTTCCATGTAATCGTCCTGGGAAGGAAGGCAGACTTCTGTCAGGGGAGGCGCTGCTTTGCTTCTGGACCATTCTAGGCTGTCTTCCACAGATACTGTGCTTTTTCTAGCTGTACTGAGGTATGACTGACAAATAAACATCACACACATTTAAGGTGCACAATATGATGTTTTCAAATACTTATACATCAT